TATGTTTTCTTCTAAGAGTTTTATAATTCTAGCTCATACATTTCATTCTTTGATCTATTTTAAGTAATTTTTGTATATGCCTTGAGGTAGGCGGTCCAACTTCATCCTTTGCATGTGAATATCCAGTTCTCCCACTACCATTTGTTGAAAAGACTATTTTTTCCCCCTTTGAATTGTCTTGGCACCTCTGTTGAAAATCAATTGACCATAAATGTGAGGGTTTACTTCTGGACTCTTAGTTCTACTCCATTGATCTGTATGTCTGTCCTTAGGCTAGTACCATATTGATTGTATCATCTTGATCATTGTAGCTATGTAATAAGTTTTTGAACTCAGGATGTGTGAATTACTCTTCCAAGTTTGTTCTGTTTTCAAGATTGTTTTGGTTATTCTGGGACCCTTGAATTTCCATATGAAATTTAAGATCAACTTCTAAATTTCTGTTGCCTTGGTTTTAAAATAGATGCAAGGGATTTGAAGCAGGCAACAATCTCTAGGAACCAGACTCTTGATTTCCCTTCCTGAGGCTGTTTTTCCCTTAGTCTTTCCCATCTTAGTAAATGGCAACTTCACTCTTCCAGATGCTGAGACTAAATACCCTGGAATCACCCTTGATTTTCTTCTTTCTCTTCTACCCCACAACGAAACCCTCAGCAAATCTCACTGATTCTACCTTGAGGATATATCTAGGATAATAGCCATTCTCACCAGTTCTGCTGCTTCCACCAAGTTCCTATCATCTCTGCTACCTGGATTACTGCTAAAGCTTCCTAAAGGGCTTCCCTGCTTTTGTGCTCACCGCTCTGCAGTCTATTCTCAACACAGCAGCCGGAGTCCATTATGTCACTCACTCTCTGCTCAAACTCTCCAATGGCTTTTTATCAGAATAAAAACCAAAGTCCTCACTGTGGCCCATAAGGCCTTTACGTGGTGTGTGGCTTTATCTTCTATCACTCTTCTCTTTGCTAACTTTGGTCCAGCCACACCTCAGCGTTTGCACTTGCTGTTTCTTCTGCCTGCAATGCTCTTCCTTCAGATGTCTGCATGGCTTTCTCACTCATTTCATTCAGGTCAAAAGTCATTTCTTTAGAGAGGCCTTCTTTGACTACACCATCTAAAGAAGAATCCCTCACGCACTCCTGCCATCATTTTACACCTCCTTACCTTGCCTTATTTATCTTTAAAGTATTTATTTATAGCACTAACTCTCACGCACACAGACACACATGATATTTGTTTCCCACTGGTAGAATACAAGCTCTGTGAGGGCCAAGAATTTGTCTCATTCACTGTGGTGTCCATAGCATATTGAATGGTTTCTGACATGTTAAGCACTCAAAAAATATGTGTTGAATGAATGAAAAAGGAATGGAAGACTGAGCAACGGGGATCACTCTGCTCTTTCTTAACGTGTGTTGAATGAATGAAAAAGGAATGGAAGACTGAGCAACGGGGATCACTCTGCTCTTTCTTTCTTAACTCTTAACGGTTCCTTCCCATATTTTCCAAGAGAAGCAGTGTTCATCGATACACCAACAACTCCTAAGTCTCTCCTTTTCTAGTCTCCTATTTTCCCCAGGGTAGTGGTCTTGTCCTCCTTGGAAAGGGGAGATGTGAGAGCTTTTGATCCTTCCCGTGGTGGCAGAGGGGAGTCCTTTGCTTTGTAGCCTGGCAGTCTGAGCAGGGCCATTCAGTGCCTGTTTCCAGTATTTTTAACTCTTGTGCTGATCTAGGGAGAGAGTGAAATTTCTTGAAAATAAAAAAAAAAGGGAAATTTGTTTCTCGATGAATATTTTGCATCAAAGTGAATTTATATTTTTCTAGCTTCTAAAAGAAATTCCCAACTCTGAGACTCATTTTGGCATTTAATTACATAACTACTTTAGTCAACTTTTCTATGTAGCTTGGCCTTAT